GCGGTCGTGTGGAGCGGCGGGCACGGAGGGGTACGGCCGGTCGGGGCTGCGGCGGGGGAGCGGCTCTACTGACGGCCCGCTGAGGTGAGGCGGGGTGTGGGGTGGCCTGTGGGTTTTTTTTAATTCAGCCGTGCGTTGAGGGCTTGTGTTGGCAGCCTCTTCGTACTGGCTTGCGTGTTGTACCCCGCCTAGGGAAGGGGCTGAGGTAGATGTTTGTTAGAGAGGAGGCAGTTTGGTGAGTGTTAATAGTAGAAAGTTTCACATGATTCAGACGCTGCCCACCTGCCGCTGAAACCTCTGAAAATATTTAATTAGAAACTGGATTAAGTATTAAGGCCCGAGATCGTCTGCGAGCTCAGCTGGTAAATCCCTGGAACAGCTCAGGACATGTTTCAAGGCTGTAAGTACATTGTAAAGTTACTGAGGGCTGAAAATGCGAGAATGTTAGCGTTCAAAAGTGTATTTAAACTGTTTTGGGAGGATTACTAACATCCTGTAAAATGAAGAGCTCAAATAATACAACGTGTGGTAATAAAGTGTATGATAACAACCAAATTAAAATGACAGGCTGGATACATTGATAGATTGCAGTGACGTGAAAATATTAAAATAGGCCGTTGAGAATAGAAAGTGAGTTGTTTATTCTTTGAATAATAAAATTCATAACACAGATGCTTTTTAAGCTTCTGTGAGTTGCCTGTTTTTTGTAAACATCCAGGTAGCTTAGTTATCGAGATGTTGTGTGCTGTAGCTGAGGTCAAACACAAGAGGAATGATTGAGGATGTTACATTGAGATGTCTGTATAAATATGGAACTTGGGTCTTTTGATGAATAGTTAGCTAATTATCCAGGTGTAGAGGTAATTGACTCTTATAGTGATCATATAACCAGGTTTAGGTACATGGCATTACTTAAAACTAAAGGTTATGACTGCTGCTCTGATATATCACATGGGATAACCAAGCTTGACTTTATTTGTAATTCATGGTCCTGATCCTGACTGTGTAAAACTTTGTATGTGCTTAACATTAGTCAAATGTTTAACTTGTTTATAATTTAAAACTTTCTTGCTAAAGTATCTAGAGGTAAAAGGCCACTGAACTAGCCTAACCTAGACACTAGAATGAAATAAATGATAGTGCATATGTAATCTTGATTGGACTGTTGATATAAACTGGCATGGTAGTTGGATCAGCTGTGCACATCCCAGGCATCAGGTTAGAATGCTCCAGTCAAGGCTGAGCAGGAGCTCCTCTGGTGAGAATAGTCACAGAAAATGTAGTATATCATGGGCATCTGCACTTGGTACGCAAGGAATCCAGACTTACTCTGTATTTGCTGCAGTTTTCAATGTATGTACCCAAGCAGTAGCTGAGGCCTCCTAACTTCTTAAGATGACCTTGATACTACTTGAAAAATTGCTTCCTTATACATAAAATGCAGGTTGTTTCTTGTCTGTAATACTGCTTCTTGCAAATATGGGGAGTAGAATAATACAGTGTACGCTTTTTAAAAATGCATTTTTCCTGGTTTTTTATCATGTGGTCTTCATAATATCTGTCTGTTTAGGTTGTTCTCATTCCTCTATTGGCGGTTTTTTTGGATAGTGTGTTTATTTTTCTATCTTTGTTTTTACTTCATGTGTTTTAATACTGCACTCTTTAATTTATAATAGTTTTCAATGCCAGAACAAAGTCAAACTATAATGGCAGTTGATGAACTTCAAGCAATAATACAAAGATGTGTAAGTAGTTTTCTTTCCATAAAAGTAACAAGTGTAAGTAGTGTGCGTTTCTCTTCATATATTATAATTAAAACCAAAATGACCCCGAAACACAAGACAGTTAGTTGTTAGCAGAACTCTTCATTGGGCAGCTAAGTTCAGCCTTCATCTTTCATTGAATTCTCTGTGGTGCTTATCCCAAGATGCTTGATAACTTCTGCTTTATGGAGAATGAAGTGTTCTGGTACTGAACAGTACCTGTCTGAAGGAACAAAACCCTAGCAGGTTGTTGTAGAAAATGTATCTTCCAAACAGTGTGCTGTAGTCTAGACTTAGAAAGTGCTATTGAAATACTGCTCTGTCTTCTGTAGTAGCTCTTGGTAGCTTTTTTAATATGTGAAAAATGTATGTAAGAAGAGGTAAGTTACAATGACACTACGTTTAATTTTGAAATGGAAGTTTGGATTTTCTTATTTGCCTTTTGTAAGTATGGAGTTAAACATGCATATTTTCTTTCTAGCAAATTCTGGAAGAAGGTGATTTCAAAGGAGAAGATTTTAGTCTGTTTCAGGTTGCAGGTCAGAAATGCTTAGAAGATGGGTATGCAGCTCAGTTATTAGAAGTAATTCAAAATGAGAAAAATAAGGTGAGTTTAAATTTGCACTATGTATTAGTTGTGTGCTAACACTGTTAAATAGATAAAACTGCTTATTAAAAAGGGAAAGCTGCTTTCACTGTGGAGCAAGGCTGTGCATATGAACAGTTAATAAGTTGCTCTGTGTAAAGTGCATGTACTTGTGTAACTTCAGGTAGCACACAGAAACCAAGTCATGGTAATCTTAACAAAACCATTAATAACTGTTTTTCAGTGAGTTAAGCAAAGAGAAAAGAGAAGACAAAAGCATAATTAAGAGAAAGTGACAGTGTCCCTCTTTCGCAGGACAGGATTTCAGATGGGGGGACTGGGTCTGGCTGGCATGGAGTTGATTTTCTTCATGGCAGCCTATATGGTGCTGTGTTTCAGATTGCTGACTAAAACAGTGTTGGTAATATGCCAGTGTTTCAGCTATTGCTGATCAGTGCTTGTACAGTGTCAAGGCCTTCTCCGTTTCTCCCTCAGCCTCCTCAGTAAGCAGGGAAGTTGGGAGGGAACACAGCTGGGACAGCTGACCTGAACTGATGAAAGAGAGGTACCATAGCATATAACGTCATACTCAGCAATCAAAACAGATGGAGATGGGGACGGGGACCCATTCCAAACTAGTTGTTGCTTGGAGACTGGTTGGACATTGGTCTGCCAGTGGGAGTTGGTTTGTGTCATTCCCTCCCCCACCCCCTGCTCTCTTTTGTCCTTCACTTATTAAATTTTCCTTATTTTGACCCATGAGTTACTCTGTTTTGCTCTTCTCTTTCTCCCATCCCACTGGGAGAGGAGAGCGAGCAAGCAGCTGGTGGGTACTTAGTTGCTGTCTGGGCTCAACCCACCACAGATGGATATAATAATATTGGCCAAAACTGTAAAAGCCAACTAAGCTGATGCTAATGTAAGAGATGCTAACATCTGTAGGCGCTTTGGGGATCTGGGAGTATATACTAAATTGTACACAGATAAATAGGAAGTTCAGAAAGAAAGTGAAGGGTGGAATGTTTTGGCAATGTTACATGGGGTTCACAGTCTGGTTTTGAATTTTGTGAGTTTGGAGTAACAACTGAAGATCTTGATCCCCTCAGGTTAAACATAATTTGTCTAAGCATTCTTTCTTTCAGCAAAACTCCTCTACTCAGTCCTGTTTTAAATGTATTGTCATATAAATTCTTAGAAAAAGATATTGACATGTTAGAATTAATCCATTGAAGATAACTATGCAATGTATGCAGCTGTGTTTATAGGTATGGGGAGAGAATACAATGAATATCAAATACAGAACTTTATGGTAATAGTTGTTAAATTTTCAATTATATCATTGTGGTGTTGGTTACAACCAGGACATGGACCTGTTGTCTTTTTTCGCCTTTGTATATACAATCTTCCTGGGTTTAGAAGATGTCCAGTTTTGGTTTATTCTCTGAAAATCTGTTTTTTAGGTTATCATCAAGAATATGGGTTGGAATCTCATCTCTCCTCTTGTTAGATGTATTTTCATGTATAAACAGGAAGATGATAAGCGAGAACACTGCCTGAAGATACTAGATCAGTTGGCACAGGTATTTTTTTTTTTTTTAATATATGCTTATAATACAATAATTGTAGGGAAGGGAGAGGTCCTAATTTTCCCTGATTTCCAAAGAAAACCAAGTCATGAATACTTCTGGGTTCTTCTGTCCATTTCCTGTAACTTTTAAACTCATGAGCCCATTTCATCTGAAGTAGACACAGGCTTAATGTTCTCAGAGATAACTGACCTCTTATAAATTTTGTGGAATTAGTAACTGGGCAAAACAAAGAGACAGCATTACACAGAAGAAAAAGGCAGATAGAACTCATGAAATTTTTGATAGCCAGCTGCTGCAGTCAGAGCAGCCACAACAATACTGCCTCTTGTCTACTGCAGATACAGTGTGACAATGATTACCTGATGATTCTGATGGAGTAGTAGGGGAAAAGTCTTAATCTGTAGACAGCTAGTTCCCTTTCATTCATGTACTTAAAAAACAACTTGTAAACTCTATAGCTCGAATTAAATTCGCACTGAAGTTTTTCTTTCTACTCCTAAGGATTACTTTGCTAAGGTACTGTGAGGTTTTTATAGACCATAGAAATCAAGTTTAGTGTTGTTGTTTATTGTTATATTTTTTCAGCTTATATAGAAGTGTACACACATATACACTCTACAGAAGACATTAATTATAGGGAAGTACTTACTGTTTCATATTTGTTTTCTTAAAGATTGTCTTGGATGTTCAGATCTGCTTTCTTGACGTTCAGGAACTTCTGTATTGAAGTTTGCTTGTGAAGAGTTTTTTAGCTTATGACCATGGTTATTAAAAAATATGCATTGTTCCTCTCTGGCAGCTATGCAATCCGAAGGAACTTTTTTTGGGTTTACTTGAGCAGATTGAGCAGGCGTCTGGAGAGCAAGCATGCCAAACTGTCATGTTATTGCTTCAGCCTTTGCAGACAGGTAAGATTCAGTTTCTCATGTGATTTCTGAATTAAATTATTTTCTCATTTATTTATCAATTTAGTTTAGCCTTTGCTGGAATAGCTTCAGAATACATCTGTCTTGACAGGCTTTACAGTCTATTACATTCTGCAAAATAACATAAGGTATAACTTTCATGCTTATATTGGCCTGTTAGAAAAAGATTGTAGATGGGATTAATAGCATCAGGTGAAAAAGCAATACTCAGCTATTTTTCATCATTTACGAGAGAATGTGGTCCTGTGACAGTATAGTTAGAGATGTAAACAATTCATACTGTTGTTATAGAGAATTACATGGATTTGTGAAATTCTTCATTATTTAACTTTTAAAACATACAATTCCATATTTTCATAGTATAAAACATTTACTTCAGATTGAAGCAGGTTGAAACATTTGATTGGTGAGGGGGAAGCATTCTTTTGGCTTACATATAAAAACTAAAAATGTTGGTTTTGGACACCCACTAAGTAGGTAACAAGTAGTAGTTTCTGTTTTGATATGCGAGATGAAATCAACTGTTGTCTATCAAGTTTAAGTCTGATTGTATCAGTCTCTGAGATGTGTTATGTTAGAATTTAACAAGAGAAGCATTTTGGTAATTAGAAGTATGTGTTTTTTTGGATAGCCAATCTGCAGTTAGCCTGCACTGAGTGCAGTTTAAGTGGAGAGCCACTTGTGCTGCTTCCTCAGTCTGGGAGCCCCTCTGTTGGTTCTGCCATGGGGTATGGAACAGTTCTGAGCTGCTTCAGGTAGAGTCAGATCCCAGCAGAAAAGTTGGGCCATGGTCTCTGATTTTGCCAAGTGTAGAAGGAGTCAAACAATAGGTGAATTCTCCAGGTCAGATAAATGAGTATTACCTCACTTAGACTACTTTTAGAAAGATTTTTTTTCAGTACTCAACCATGGTGCTACAGAGAAAGGAAGAATGTGTTGAAATGCATGACTGCTTTAATATTTGTCATTCTCAAATATATGGTCATCTTAACTACAGCATATTAAACTAGCTGATGACATTTAGTCTTGCTGGATTTGCTCATGTGATTTCAGGTATTGGTCCCTCCCCTTCTCTGAAACTAAAGGCTTTCTTATGTAGTCACATTGGTTTTCTTCACATTTTTCTCTACTGAGTAAGTAATAACTTAATGTCTCAAAATGTTCTTTCTCTCTTTTTTTTCCTTTTTTTTTTTTTTCTTTCCCCCAGTGCTTTTGAAACTTCAGAACAAGAAGGCCTACTCATTGGGTTTATCTTTGGCTATGATTATGAATCAGCTTACTCCCTTACCTGTACCTTATACAAAACAACAAATACAGGAAGACAAACTTGGTCTCTGTCAATGTTGTAATGCAGTGGTGGACTTTACTAAACCTTTTGTGAATGAAGTTATTAAAAACATGGAAAAGTCATCAGAATACAATGACATGGAGCTGAAAGAAGAATTATTAAAATTGTGAGCATTTTATGTCAGTGTAATATATTCATGTAACTTAACAAAACGAACTGTAGGCTTTTATTACATAGGCAGTAAATAAATCATCTTGGTGTTTTAGAATGCTGCCAACTTATATTAACTAATGTGGTATTTCAAAAAAGAAAAAAGAAACCTAAATATGCCTTACATATTTATGGAGTGAGAGAAAAAAGGTAAAAATAATTTATTTTTTTTAGTACAGGGAAATGGTAAAGAAATCTTGATCTCTGTGCTGTGAAGCTGATTTGATATTCTTCTGTTCCTTCTCCAATTACAACAGTGAGGATAATCATATTGTGGAAGTGAAGTTAAGGAATGATTCTACAGGAGATGGTCTTTTTTTTATTCTCCCTGGAATATCAGGAATAGCAGCAGCTAATACGAGTATAGACTTTATTCTTGGTTATCAGTGACACTATTAGAGTCTGTATTTGTGACCATATTGGTGATTTAGTTTCATCCCATTTTTATTTCAGCTGTATGAAATGCCTGAAATACCCATTATTGACAGCTCAGCTTGAACAACTTGAAGGCATTGAAGAGCATCCCTTTCGGCATTTTGCAACTGAAATTATAGTAAGTGCAGTCAAAATTAATTACAGTGTTTGCAAAACCAGTGGTCTAGTTCAGAATTACCTATAATTCATTCTAGAGCTCATTTTGCTTCCTTTATTGATTAGTGGGATGACTTCCTGGGCTTTGTAAGATAATGCAGGTAGATAAAGGTCTAGAACAGTTCCAGGTCCCATCTCTGGAAATTACGAATCTTGCAGACACAGTTTTGCTCCTTGATAAACCAGTTTGGACTGCTGTCTGAATCAGTAGCTGTTACTTTGCTCTAACTGCTTCTTTTTCTTGGTGATGTGTGAATTTACTAGAATATCTAAAGGATTGTCTTTGCTGCAGTATTATGTCAAGGTAAGATCTACATGCCTAATGCAGTGCCAGCCGACTATTAAAGAATATAAATTGATGCTTGACTGCTGCTGATGCTATAGCTGGAAATTCAGTGGGAACATGTCCACTCCATGCTACCAATGCTTTTACCCTGGTTTTGAATGTTTTACGTAGAAGCTGTGTTTTATTAGAGCAAGATTATTGTGGGTATAGATAATTTTATTTAAATTTGCAGCAAAACCAAGCCTTATAAGGAGATGTGTGTTCCAATCTGTGCATGGACTGCACCTAATACGTGTATGTTTTCAGAAATAGGACCAAGTGTGATTAATAAAATTACAGAAAGTAGAGCTGTGCTTTGTTCATGTTTTGAATGTGGTAAAGAGTATTTCCTGTCCTGCACATATCCAGATGTAATGGCTTGACCCCACCTGGCAGCTAAGCTCCCACCCAGTCACTCACTTAGCCCCCCCTAGCAGAATGGGGAAGAGAATCTGAAAAGCAAAAGCAAGGAAAACTCATGGGTAGAGAAAAAGACAATTTAGTAAGTGAAGGAAAAAACCCCAAGTGATGCAACAGCAGTCACTCATCACCTCCTACCAGCAGACTGATGCCTAGCTAGTCTCTGAACAGCAGTTAATCTGAAAAATACTGCTTCATCCTCCCTCTGCCCACCTCCAGTTTGTTGCTGAACATGATGTTATATGGTATGGAATATCAATTTCATCGGCTTGGGTCGGCTGTCCCAGCTGTGTTCCCTCCCAGCTTCTCACCCGCCCTCTGCTGGCTTGCTGAGGGGCAGGGTAAGAAACAGAAGGCCTTGATGCTGTGCAAGCACTGTTCAGCAATAGCTGAAGCACTGGCATTATCAATGCTGTTTTGGTCACAAATCTAAAACACAGCAACATATGGGCTGCCATGAAGAAAATCAACTCCATGCCAGCCAAACCCAGTGCACCAAATTTAAAGTATTTGTAAATAGCAGTTGCCTCTAATTTTCAAATGCATGGTTATACAATGATTTGTGTTGGGCTGTTGAAATGAAGGAACCTTTTGGACAGCCAGGTGCTGGATTATTTTATAACAGTTTATTCAGAAGCAGGCTGGTAAATCTTGTAATGAAATATAAGAGTGGAAAATATTGTTAGTAGTAAACGGAGTCTTCCCTCAGGATAGCCAACAGGCCACTAGTTGGATAACACTGAATAGACAGTCACAGCTCATTTTTATCAGGATTGCATCTAATGTCTTCAACTCTTATAAAAGAAGCTGACCTTTTTAGAAGTATAGGAGAACTAAGCATTAAATGACTATTAACTGGTTATTAATATTTACCTTTAACAAAAATACAATTCTACTTTTGATAACTGGCCATTACAGTTCTTTTCTGTAAATTTTCTTAACTATGGATACACTTGTTTCTCATGTTAATGTTGACTGTATGAAAGAAGAGTTAAGTTTGAGCTTTGGACTTTGTTCTACCTTATTATCCCTGGTTAGAGGAGAAAAATTCACAAGTCAAATACAGAAAGACAAAAGTCAAAGAATGTCTGGAACTATGTAAGAGGGAAATGGAAGTTACTGAGAAGGTAGAGTTGGGGTGAAGCTGGCTGATGAAATCCAGCTATTGGAGGAAGATGGCTGAAATGGCTGTGAACGATGAACTAGGCAGTTAGAAGACAGACAGCTTTTTATATGATGTAGTGGAGGAATTAGTCCTAAAAGAGCAGAGGGACTGGGTCAAGGTGTCATTTTTGGGGAGGGAATGGCACACTAAGACTTGATGAGTTTCAAAAGGAAGACTTGGAGCCATCTGGGGTGAGGAAAGTACGTGTAAATGTATTATATGTGTGCAAATGTGCATGCATACAGAGGAAGTCTGGAAGTTGCCATGTGATGCAGCTCTTCTCCAATTTGTGTTTAAAAATCTAAGCATTTTTGCACACAGAATTCTACATCCAAATGTTAAGATTGTAAAGTAAAACACACTAAGCAGTTAGCAGAACAAAACTTTTGGTTGTTTTTCAACAATAATTAGGTTTTCTATCATGATTACATCCATTTTTTTCCACAGCATGTCTCAGCACAGGATGGAACTGGTATAGGGGTCAATCAGGAGTTGTGCAATAAAAGAATCTTGTCTCTGAGACCTTTACTTCATTTATTGCACAACTTTCAGGGTGTGCAGTTAAGGAGGCAGGGATTACCAGAAGATGATCTCATGGTTAAGATAGTTGAAGGGTGCTCTGAAAAACTGGCTTTTTATTCTGCCTTTCCTGTTGGGCACAGTCTGAAACCATGTTTTTTATGCTAATTGTGAACTACATTTTCTTGATTTTCTCAAGAAATTCACTTCTGCTGTTTGTGGAATTGGGTAATGAGAGCTGCAGCTAAGGTCAGTAAAGTCATGCTCTGACTATATGACATCTTGTGTAATCCTAGCTTTCCAAAATGTGAGATTGTGCATGTTCAGTTTGGACGACCCCAGAATAGGGAGTTAACCTTGATCTCACTGTTTCTTCATAGTATGTACAATAGGAGCTACACTACCTCCTAATTCATGTGAATGGCGGGGACACACACCGTAGTATTTGTGAAGTTCTCGGGTGTCATTGTGTTGTGCACTGGAAAGAAGGGTCATACAGAGTGATTCTAACTTCAAAGCGGGGCTTGCCTTCAGCAGATAAACATTATGTTGCGTATTGAGTGAGCAGAAAACAAAATACTGATCATTCTGTGATCTGAAAAACACAGGGGTCCTGTGGCATAATGTGATCATGAAGCTGTCATTATTCATAGCATTGTGGATAAGGGAGCCAAACTAGGGGTTTGCAGGGTGATTTCCTCTTTTGCTAACTTTTGAGTGCTTGACTTTGCTATCTTAGTAACGTTCTTCTAACAGTAGTTATTTTTCCTGCAGGGTCTTTTTTGTGTATGTGTATATATCATGAATACTCACAAAATAGTTATATTAATTTATGCTATATAAGAGTATACTGTAAATACAGTTAAAGCTTTGAAACTTAATGGGTGTACAGGCCTTTTAAAGGCAACTATAGGAAATCTATCTTTTTTTTTTCTTTTTTTTTTTTTTTTAGGATATTTTGTGGGATATAAGAGAATTAATACCACTGGTGTTTTTACATCATAAGAGCATAAGTCCACACTGGAAGAATCAAGAGTTTGCGGACATAGAGCGAAAGAATTCTGCAGATTCTTTGGCATGTCTGTCATATCTGATGTTTGTTCAGCATTTTGGTATTGATTGCTTTCCAATGGTATTTAGGTAAGAACTATTCTTCCTCGTTTATCCTAAGTCTGTACTTTGAAGATTCTTTCTGAGCAGAAGAAAACTTCTTATTTGTCAATAGTTATGAATGAAAACTGTATTTCACTAGTATTTGTTTTATGTCAACCTTTATGTATTTATATTTTGTGTAGCTTATATTATATACATAAGAACATACTCCAGTCCTGCAGATTACTCTATTATGGTTTAATTTTAGATGAGCTGTCTTTTTAAAGAAACGGGTAGAATTAGTCACATGCTGAAAATTAACATGTATTAAATTTTCAGTTGCATTTATAGACAGTTTCCACGTAACAGTTCTTAAGAGCAATTTGACTTAATATTTTGTGTCTATTTCAAAATTACTAATTTTATAAAGATATTTTTATAATTTTTAAAAAAAAGATGAATCCTGTAAAATATATTAACTATGTGCAAATGTATATGGCTTATGCAGTTTAATGTAAACCTAATTTTTTTCTTTTAGTCCATCATACCTTCTGCAATGCAATATGACACATATTGAAGTGCTACTGAAAAGGTAGGGTTTATGGCATTTGGAGTTCTAGATAGTGGGTGTGATCTTTTGTAGTATTTCATAGAATCAACTTTTGAATATACCAGATAAGTTCAGAGGAGGTTTTTAAACCTGAGAGTTAAAATGGCAAGTTCCACAACAAGATGATTTCTTTTACTAGGAAGTATGAAAAGTTGTCTAAAACATTTATTTACTGTTTTCAGCTTGTATTGTGATACCATTTTTAGAAACTTTATTCTGAAAATGCAAAATTAAGATCTTTTAAACGCATGCAGAATAATTAGATTGTGTATTTACTTGTAATTCTGTAATAATTAGTTTACTACTAGAGAAGACTATCATGATAGTATTTATTTGAATGTATTCTGATACAATACGTAATCTGATTAAAGGTCAGGCTTTTCTATATATTGTGGTTATTTCACCTTCCATAAGCAGCAGTGTTGACCAAATAACTTTAGCACTGCTATAGAAGGGAAGTTTCCCATTATGACTGCTTACCGTTTCCTGGTAAAATTTAAACAAGGCTTCCTGGTCTCTTCAGTTTAGGATCTGCTCTGTTTTTCTTAGGCTTGCAGAACTATGCAAATGGAATCATCTGGAAAAAGTTTCATTTTCTTTGTTAATCCACGTCTTGATACCTGTGAGATACGAGATGCTGCTTCTATTGAGGGCAAAAAAAAGTAATTTTTGGCCCTGAAGAGAGGAGTCTAATTTTCAACTTTTCCATAAGCCAGCTTATCCTAAAAACCTTTGAGAGGAATAACAAAGATACTATATTTAGAAAATAGAATGAAAATTATTGAGGGACAAGTTCTTTTTGATCTCTGTTCTAGTGTTTCTTCTGAAATATCAACAGTGTCTTTTTAATCAACAACTTAAATTTGATAATGTTTCTTTTTTTTCTAGAACAGAAGAATCTATGTTATCTAAAGGACTTGTAAGTTTTCTTTTGATGAAATTTTCAATGTTAGAATGTTTATTTTTTCCAATTTAAGTAATGGTAAAACTTTAGTTTCCCTTTCTAAGAAAGGTGCAAATGATAGTTCAGGTAACAGTTTCAGAAATATTTTGAGGCTTAATTAGGTATTCTTCAGTCTTACAAACACTTATATTTATTGAACTTTACACACATGCATAAATGTTTAAATTACCATCATCACTTACATTCATATCTCCTAGGAACTTTGGATATCTGAATGGGCATTTATAGTGAAGGTGATTTTAGCCATGAAATGTTAGGCATATAGATTAATGTTTTATATATGTGCAAAATGTTGGCAGCTTTTTTTTTTTTTTTGTCCCCCACCTGCAGGATCTGTTTGAGAGCTGTTTATTGAGAATGGAAGATAATAGCCTTCTCCATCGGTATTTAGAACTCAGAGATTTTATTAATGTACCTCAGGTAATAAGAAGCAACACAGATGTCTTTAAAGTTTGATTTTAAATAATATCTAGCTGTCTTCTAGGTGTTAGAGAGAGGACATACTACTGAACCTTTATACACTTGTGTTGTTAAATTGAAACTTTCAGTGCCTTGCTGTACAGAATTGATTGTCTTTTCTACCCGCTACAGCATGAAGTTTCAGTGACAGTTAAAATACACTTAGTGTATGTACAGGCCACTGAAGCAGGTGGGCATTGATCTTAGCTGAAAGATGATGCTTTTGTATATCAACCTTGGGATTTCAACCACTGAAGCTAATGTGAATTTCTCTGATGAGAATATTCGCATAAGCATGGTTTTGTAGTCTGTGGGTTTTTTTGTTTTGGTTTGGTTTTTTTAACGTCTTGAGTAGATTTTAGTCAGACTAATGTAATGTAATAATCTGTATGCAATTAGAAATTATGTTTTCTTTGTCCAACTGCAGGATTTGGTGCAAGTTATGACCCTTTGTCCCATAGAGCATCTGGTATGTAATGCGACCTACAGAATCAGTTAAGTGCTGAATTTATTTAATTAGAATTAATCTGATAACATGTTTTTTTTTTTCTTTAGAGAAAGAAGAGTTTACATATTTTGCAGTTGTTCATAGACAAATTTGACACAGAGGGAAAATATACATTATTCAGGTATGCATCCAAATTACTGTAGATTGTGTAATATCAGCCTTATTGCAGCTTAATTGTGTAGACAATGATTTCTGTCAGAGTTTCTATCTGGTAAACCACATTAATTTTACTATGTTAATTTTTGGATAAATAATTAATTTCAATTGTGTCACATAAAATCAGCTGTCTTACCTAAGCTAGTGTCTAAAGGTTACACAGTCATCTTATTTTTCTGTGGTAAAACTCCCCCTTAGTGAATAAGGCCATAATGTCATCTAAGTTTTGAGCTATCTATATAGGCAGCTTTGAAGAGATAATATCTTTTTTTTGTTTGTTTGAAGGTGTTTACTGAAGACAAGCAACCATGCTGGTGTGGAAGGATACATTATTAAAAATATAAAAGATCAGATTCACTTCTCGTTAATGGTGAGGCTATTACCACTAAGAAACAAGTTACCATCTAAAAATTCTATGAGTATTATGTTGAGAAAATGTGTACAGCTTAAGCTTCGAGTGATGCATTAAAAAAATCCACTTTGAAACAAAACCTAAGATTGGGAAGTTGTACAATTAAAAATATTAATTTGTCTTTTTTCTGCATATGTATTTTTACATTATAATTTTACAATTGTATTAATTGCAAAATTTTACTCTATTTTTCTAAGAAGTTATTATTACCTTTTCTGTGCTTGAAAATACCTGCTACTTTATTAAAGAAGAACTATTCAGTATTTTGTTTTATCCTCACAGTCCTCATTTCTTGAATATAATTCAAATGTTCCAGTTCAGACAGACTTATTAATTTTTTCTTGGTTTTTATGATCATAGAATTGTCTAGGTTGGAAAAGACATTTAAGATCATTGACTCCAACTGTCAACCCAACACCAGCATGCCCACTAACCCATGTCCTGAAGTGCCACATCTATGCGTCTTTTAAAGACCTCCAGGGATGGTGACTCCACCACTTCCCTGGACAGCCTGTTGCAATGCCTGACAACCCTTTCAGTAAAGAAATTTTTCCTAATACCCAATCTAAACCTCCCCTGGCACAACTTGAGGCCATTACCTCTCGTCCTAACATCACTAGTTACTTGATAGAAGAGACCAGTACCCACCTCACTACAGTCTCCTTTCAGGAAGTTGTAGAGAGCGATAAGGTCTCCCCTCAGCGTCCCTTTCTCCAGACTAAACAACCCCAGTTGATGACAGTCAGCATTATGTTATGATGACAGTCAGCTTTATACTATGAGTGCTTCACAAACATTAAATTCATCAGAAAGGGTTGAGCTAGATCAAAGCCATTTAAATACCATATTTTATAATCATTTATACCAGGAAGTTGGAAAAATTAATTGAAAATAAATGATTAACTTTTTCTCTCTCTCTCTTTTTTTTTTTTTTAACTGCTTAGGGCCTTTTCCAAACAAAATTTGATTCTCAAGGATACTGCCTTTCGTCAATTAGGACAATATAGTAAACAATATAGCATATTTTATGCTAGCATAATTATGTTAGAAAACATACTATTTATTAGATCGTAGCCTGTCCTGTATATTGAATCAGCAGGGGTGGAGAAGATGGTAATATGAAAACTGTTCCAAAAGGGGCTTGCATTAAAATTGAATAGGTGAAACTATATTCTGAAATTCCCTTACTAATTAATTTTTTTGACTATGCAGCTTCAGAATTCTCTTAACACATTACTTCTGTGTAGAGTTCCCTGGCTGTCAAAAAGACAAATAATTTTAAGATTTTGTCATGGATTTTAATATTCTCGGTTTAATGCAAAGAATTCTATTATAAACATAATGATAACAATTTCCTATTGCTATCAATTTATTTCATCTTAGTTTTTGTGCCCAGGTAGTCTTAATCTTTCCAGGTCCATCATCTGATCTGACTTAACAGACAGTTACACTTCTTATTTCCTTATCTAATATCAGTTTTCCTTCCAGTCCATTTCTAGGTTTAGAAATATGCAAAGAAAACTTAAACCACCTGATCATCTTTAAAAAAAAAAAAAAAATTGTGACGCTGCTATTATGAAATGAATAGAGTCTCTGGTAAAGATAGCTAATTGCTTCATACCTCCATATAAAAAAAAAAAAAAGAGAGTGCTTACTACAGTTTACTAAAGTTTATGTAAACAAATATTAACTATATTGATGGTGGTATTCTGAAGAGGTGGAGAATTTATTCTGATTAAGTTGAAAAGAAAGCTTGGCATGGAGAGATAAAGTAGGGAGGATTATGAAAAGACTAGTTTGTATACTTCAATCATATGTAGTAATTAGAAAATATTGCTTCCAGTGTTTCATTTTTTTTCTTTTCTGTTTTCCCAAAACTATCGTTAAATTATTTAAGATTTATTTAAGATACCTTTAAGATTTAAATTTGTACTCAGCTAAACTTTTTATATCATTTTTTTCAGAGGGCATGTGACAACATTTGGTTTACAGGACATCACCTGATCTCCCTTCTAGATTTAGTGCTTTTGCTTCCAGAAGGTGCTGAGACAGATCTTCTGCAAAACTCAGATAGGTGAGTTGTAATTGCAGTTAGGAAGACTTCAAACTATCTTACTACAGATAAGGGGGTATGCTTTCATGTAATTAATGAGGTGACAACATCAATGTATTTTAAATTTTTGGAACTAGGAATGGAAATGATCACTTATTTCAACCATCTTTTCAACTAATTCTGTATAGAAGAATGTCACAATGCTTTTACATTGATTTTAACAATAAGAAAGGAATTCCTCCTCCATTCCCTGAGGATATAAGGCCTTAGATGTCAAATTATAGAACTAATTGGTAAAGCATTATTTATTCAGGAATATATGGTTTGTCAGCTTTCTGCAGAAGCAATTGGAGGAACAAAAGAAATGTGGTATGTTGTCTTAGGTGATACAGGGGAATACAACAATAATAATTATCAGATAACAACTTATAGCACACAGCCTTTTTGAGACTGTTTCACAGATTGCTGCTGGGAATCGAGTATGTCGTGAGTGGGAATAGAAAGCTACCTGAACAGCAAATACGTGTATTGAGTAATATGAAAATAACTGAAATGTCTCTGAAAATCTCCTGTATAGGACTAGTCTTTTCGTATGTAACAAGTAATCGTTGGGCTTGTAAATCAGTAGAGTGATAGTGTCCAGATGGACACATAACTACTTAAAAACCCAGATATATGATCTGTAATTGTACTGTTTATCAGGAAAAAGCAATAAATAGTTTCTGCTAAGATGTATGGTAAAACAAAAGCAAAAAAGTGTATTTTAAAAAGCACTCAAAAGTAAAAATTCAATACAGTAATAAAGAAAACTGTCACACTAGTTTCAAATCAGCTTTGGATCACCAGTGATGTGTGTTACAAATTCTGTAATAAGGTTCCATCTCTTCAGAGAACTTTCCCTCACAATCACCAGCCTACTCCAATCTGCTGACAGTTTTAATTGCAAAGTGTCAACTGTTGTAACATGGATGTTTGCACACTCGTGCTCTAGACTAAGCTATATTGCTCAACAGATGGGTGGTTGCATTTTGTACAAATGGGTATTTTTAGGATGTCTGGCTAATGGGCAATTTAAATTATTATCCCTGTGATATAAATCTGCACTCTAAGTGATAAATAGTACATTTTTAATTCACAGGATTATGGCGTCACTAAATCTACTGAGATACTTAGTCATTAAGGATTGTGAAAGTGATAATCAAGTAAGTACTAATTGATTTGAAAATGATTGATTAGCTGAGGGGAGAGCTGGATTCACGTGAGCACTGTTATCCTTGATCATGGTTTTTGCATTTTTCTTTGCAATGGTCAATAATCCAGAAGTGATGCTTTTATTAACTATGTTAGGAGATACACGATGTGTTATTTTATTCTGATGAGATTTGATTGCATTCATGCTTAACTGTTACTGTAAAAAAGCTAATCCTTTTACTCTGCCTGATGAACTGTGGTCCATAATTTTACAGTATGTCACCATAAAGTCACATCTCTATCAAATATTCCCATGAGAAAAAATATTTGTTACTCTTGCTTATTTATTTGCTGGTACCCCTTAAGCCTCCAGGTGGATTTCTTTATAATAATAATAATACAAACCTTTGCAGTTCAAGAGATCCATTTTATTCATCTTTAGGCAAAATACTTTTTGTGCAATATGCTAAAAGTTGTTAGTATTAGGATTTCTCAGAAAGTATTTAATCATATTTAAATAGTTTTTAGCTGTGCAAAACAATATATTTACAGCTGCTGTGCAGGTGCATGATAGGTACACGTTAAAAGCTTCTCTAGGTATTAGCATCAAAAAAATTCTTGTCTGCAAGATCCATCTGCTGAAGTAACGAAAGGAATGGCCAGACCCATCCAATTTTCTGCTACGTTGCTTTACTGGAAACAGCCTAGAATGTTTTATACAAAGGTAATTTGCCAGCCTAAACTGCTCACCACTGCAGTTTTTACCTATGTTTTTATTACAGGTAAACCTCTTCAACTCCATTCTCCTGTGTGTGTGGATGTTTGAATGTAGATATTTCAGAAATACTCTGCATATTTAAACTTTGCAGTATATTTAAAAAATTGAAACTGCCCTTATTTTACCCATATAATATTATGCTGCCTCAGTTTAAAGCAGGATTTTATAGCTTTAGTTGTAATCCCCACCTCTTTCTTCTCTGTTTTGTTTAGCTCTTTTCTGTCTGACATGTTTGTTACTGGTAGATCAGTGCAAAGCTTTATTTGTTATTCAGCTGCTGTATGGCTATTCGATGTATTATATTATGATGGATCTGCTGGTTTTGTGTACAGTCAGTCCTGTCCACCTGCAGTTGATGGAAATGTGTTGCTGGATACTCAAGGGGAAACTTGTTTGAATTTCACAGCTGGATCGATACATGGATTCCATATTCTAACAGCTGATTTGTAGGTGCTCTGACTTGAATTGTGTCGCTACAGCATTGAAGAGCTGGTGGAATTATTTGTGTTTAGTTTTCCAGTTACATTCCCCTACCAAATGGCTACTTATTCTAATAGTAAATGCAACTTCTGTTGACTCTTGAAAATCATTATGTTCCACCATTCCTCTAATTTATGTGACTCAGGAGCTTTTTATCCACTATATCATGTAGCGAACAAGTATCATCTATCTCCTTAGTACTAAATGTTTTGATTTTTGCTTTAAAATACTTGTTTAAATTAGTGACAATTTAAAGAAAAATTGCTTTTCAGTTTTAAAGTACCATAAAGCCTTTCTTCACTTGAATAAGCAATATCATGGTCAGATTAATATTCTAACCTTCTTCTAGCAGGTAAGTATCATAAGGTTTTTGTTGGTCTCCTCCAGTTCCTTGATTTTATGATTTGGAGTAATGGATTTCAGCACATAATTTTCTGTTTTCCAAAATACAGGAAAAATTCTGATCTACTTTTAGAGCACTTTAAGATCTATGAATACAAGTTTTATAAATGCCTAATTATGTTATTAGTCTAGGTAGAATAATAATAATATAGCTTGCACTGATTACCAAAACCATAATGAAAATGAATAGCAAAAATAGCTTTCATTTGGTGCATTTCTAATTTACTATTTATGTAATTAGTATTGATAGACTATATCTGTTTCTCAGATTTAAGGAGTTATTACTATTTAAGTGCTCATTATGGTCCGCTCAGTTTCATGTAAATGCATAGCTCTAAGAAAAGAGAGAATTCCGCTTTTATCGTTATTAAAAATTTATACGTAGTAGCACACAATTGCCGTAATAGTACTGTCTAGTACCTGGCATAAAGACTGTCCCTACAGTTTGAGGAGAAAATAGCATCACTTCTGAAGTTTTCCCTTAAATTTAAGCCCGGCAGTTCTTTTTTACTTCCTCCCTGTCTCCCTTCATAATAGTGCAAGTGGGGCAGAAATAAAATGCCTCCTGTCAGGTCAGTGCAGATGTTTTGATTGCTGTGTAACAAGCACTTTCATAAATCGAGTTTAAAAATCACTATTTTTCTGTAAAGTTATTTCTTCATTTTTAACCCCATTCTGGTGGAAGTAATTACCATTCTTCTTATTTAACTAGTTAACTTTGTATCATTTAACATTAAAATTTGGTGAATTTTCCACTGTAATCAACAATACTATTTAACATTGAGAATTCTTATTTTTATCATCCTTAATCTGCCCTTTGAGGATACTGCCTGAAGAAGGGAGTCATATAAATGGCTCCTATATCTAAAGACACAAAGACTGCTTTGTATTTGTTTCCTTCTACAGCAGTTTTGTAACTACAAGCTTATAAGGTGCCAAGGCAGAGAAGTTTTCCTCTTGTGCTGTATAACCTTGAACAGCCTGGCTTTTGAGCATCTTTTCCTTGTATCTCTTCCTGATATGTTGTCCTGATACTCTTCCTGAGTGTCATTATTGTAAACTCCTTGCACCCATGCCAAACTGGGGAGAAGTTCATGGTCACTTTGGCTAATGTGCCTAAGGATGGGATAGCAGCATAGCCAGTAACATTCCTACAGTGCTTTTTAAACTGAATGCAATATAGACAAAACCCTTATATATTTGGGGAGCATGACATTCATCAGAGTTTTCATTTGGCATCACAATACAGTGTTAATTCAGAAACATGAATTTAAATATTTGTGCTGTTTTGCTGCTAAATTATCTTAGAGGAATCTACAACTGCTGTTCACTCACTGTAGAGATTCTAGCCTGAGAAAGTGGCTAGTACCCACCTCCAACATCCCAAGATCCTTTCAGCTTTGCTTACAAGAACAAGTTGAAAATTTGTGTTTCCATTGCTGTAGTTATCAGCCTACATACTAAGTTTGTTGTGTGTGTCCCCTTTATTTTTTTTGACTACTTCATCCTCCAGTTTTTGACAAATAATATAAGAGAGAGGGAGAGGAGCTTAAATATCCATCATGATGCTATTCATGCCTAAATACATGAATCTACTTTTTTTTTTTTTTTCTCCCAGCACAGAAGTGTATGTTATAAAGACTACTCCGAAAACTTGTGCTCAAAAACTTAGTATTGCAATGCTTCATTCAAACTAATTTGTAACCTTCTCTGTTCTGTTTGAATAGACTGGTGTATGGACCACACTTGCCAAGATTGAGCAGAATTTTTTAAAACCACTGCATGTAGGACTCAATATGTCAAAAGCACACTACGAAGCAGAAATAAAGAATAAGAAAGAAAACAGAAGAGGTTAGTTGTTCTCTTTTTTTCTTAGCTTTGTTCATATTTAGAAAATTTGGAAATCCTTTGGAAGCAAAGAATTGGTGAGTGCTATATAGACCGTGTTTTATTTAACTATTGACACTATTCCAAATTTCAAATAATAATTAAGTAGTTGCTATATTTGATATTAGTAATTTTAATAATTGGTCAGAAAAATCTCAACTTGTTTATCTCTCATCACATTTTTAAACCTTATGGAAACCTGATAGAAATGTCACATGAAGACCTTCAAAGCTTGTTCTGCATTTATACTTTTGATTTTAAGGTTAGACAGGAGCATCTAAGTATCTCTGAATCTATAGCCATTAGGTTTCATACTATGTGTGGGGAGGTTAACAAGAGAAGAAATAATTCACACAGCAAATAGGTGCTCTCTTAAAGACTGAAGGATTACATTCTGGATTTTCTTTTATTATTTTTTTTTAATCTGATACAAAGAATCAGATTCTGCTCTGGGTTAAGCAGACAAATTCCACAGGGCATAAGAGCTGTAGCTGCTTTAGGTGATCCCTGTGTATGTCAGATCTTTTGTTCCTTTGTGGTCTCCATTATAATTAAGACAGCCCAAGAAACTTGCTTCTGCTACCAAAAATGTCAGTACAGCTTTTTGCCACTAGTCTTATCCTCTTCTGTTGTTGTAAACTATGTAAGTATGAGGCAGAGAAGGGGAATTTTCTGAAGGCAACCTGTGTATATCTTTCTAAAGGGAATCCTATACAATTAATCCAGCAGCTTTTTCTTTAAGTCCCTCCTACGTTTCTCTAGCCTTTGACAAAGCATAAAGAGATTTGTGTTTGGGAGAGAACATCTAACTCGAAACAGTAAATGGTTTAGCCTTTTTCCCCAGTGTATAGTCTTTGTAAGCATTATGCTGAATTTCAAATATGTAGTCTGAATGTAAGAGGTTTTCCCCTTAATTTTCAGACTTGTCCTTGTAGTTTTGCCTGCTGCAAGTAATCTGCCTGGAACAGAGAAGCCTGCAGCCTTTTCTTAATAAAATAAGTATTTCATGTCTGGATTCATTAAGTCAAGCTAAAGAACCTCCTACTATCTCTCTGGATGTGGAAATATTAAAAATGTGTCAAAAAAAGACCAGATTTAATAACTTTTTTTTTTCCTTTTAAGGAACATTTTAGCTATATAAAATTGTTCTGAGTTGCAAATATTGCCTGTTTAGTAATATAGTCATATGTGTTATAGAAAGCTTAGAGATAGCATCCAGCTCAAACTGTCTTCCTCTTAAGGTTCAGCACTTTCTGTCCTGTGTTTGGTCAGTCCCTACGTTTATGTTTTTTTAACAGTTACTGTCTAGAAATGCTAATACATTAAATACTCTTTTCATTCCAAAAGTTATGTGAAACAGCAGCCTGATCTCTGGTTGGTTATTTTCTTCTACAGAGGCACACAGTTCTAACACAGTTTGTTCTGTAACTGTTAGTGGGGAAAAGATGCCTGCTATGACTACTGAAATGCAGCTTCAGGTGAGTTTGCATTTCCTTCAAAGTTGTTCAGAAGTATTGAAATTTTCTTTTCAATCTGGAGACAAACATACATGTACAGTGGGTAAAAAAAAAAAAACAACAAAAAAAAACTAATTTCTTTTGTCATTTCAGGTTTTACACTCGGCCCTCTTCACATTTGATTTAATAGAAAGTGTTCTAGCTCGAGTAGAAGAACTCATTGAAGTGAAAATAAAAGCTGTAATGGATGAAAATAGTTAGGTCAGCTGAAGTATTGGAGTTAGTGTACTTCTTACAAGATCATTTTGACTATGAGACTTTGGTTGAAAAGGAGGCTACTAACCCTTAAGGAAGAACAATTAGAGTGGCCTCTAGAAGAATTGCAAATGCTGCTCTTCATAAGTCTTGTTGCTGTTTTGGTTTTTTTTATTTTGCTATTGTTGTATGCGATTCACAGAAATGGCGTTTTTACTAAAGTATTCATCTTCAGAATTTGATGCTCTTTAAGTTTAGAAACTAAAAACAAGGGGGTTTTTTGTTCTTATGCTGTGGCAAGGAGGTATGGTTGTGCATTTATTTTTCTGTTAATTTTCAAAATTTGTTAGATAATAGTTGCTGACTGGTGTTGTGAATTGCAAAGATTTTTATAAAGTGACTAGAGAACCATTAATTAAAAAGCACTGTTTAAGCACAAGGTATTTTTATTAGCACTTTTTAATGTTGACAAACAAGCTTCTATATTTACAAACAGGACTGTAAATTCCTATGGCAAAGGAGACCAGGTTTAAAGAAAAACACATCAGCTTGGAGCCAAGTAAGATGTTAAAACTTAGTAACACAACAGATAACACTTGTGTTTAAAAAACACACTGTGTAAGATTTAATACATATACCTGTTTATGGATGGGAAACCTATATTTTGGAATTGTTTTGATCATCCTTATCTTTAATGATAGAGTTTTCCTTAAGATATATTAAATATTTTGGGAAATTATTATAAACAGATGAGCTTATAAGTTCAGAATCAGGTTAAAAATAAGGATGGCTTTTCTATAGTGCAGTTAAACAACTTTTTTTTTTTTTTCCTTAGAATGCACATTTGGTATAATGTATGCCATTTTTCATTGTATAGCTATTTAATATAAATTTCCATTCCAAATGCATAAGTTGTATATAGTCTTTTGAAATGTAACTATATTTTTAAGAACATTCAGTATTTTGTTTAAAATGTAGCCACTCTATTTATGAATAAAAACCCCAAATACTAAATTAATTACAATGCAACTGGTAGTCCTGAAGCATCTTCCAAACTGGACTGTTTTCTATTATTTGGGCTTTTGTCATTGCTATTTTGTAACGAGTATCATCTGCTTGTGGCTTGGAAGTTACCTTAGAGGAAAGAAAAATATTATGAGTAGGACACAGTAACTCTAAGGTAATAAAATATTCAACATCTTATTTTTCAAATAGTACAAATGTAAAATTATTCAGCAGTGAAATCTGAATCATGTTTTCTGAAGTAGATAATCAGGAATGATGTACACAGAGGTGATGTGATGTATCCCTTTAGGTGCAAGACCAGTCCTAAAATAACCAGTCCTGTCAGCATTGCATCTGATTATCTGGATAGTACTTCAATGGGAGTTGGGTATGGTAGCCCAGGATTGGTTGGATGGTGTTGCTCCCTTGGCCATGTCTGTTAACCTGAGGCAAAAAAGTTAATTTTTTAGGCCCTATACCAGTTAAGGGATTGTCTGGCAAAAGATGAGCTCATTAAACTGGCTCTGTACTGCATCAGTAAGAAATAATGTAATGACAACCAATAGATTTGTGGTATATACTATCATCGCTTCTTACGGGGCTCTCCTGTTGAAACTTGGTGTAAACATTCTGAACAAGTAGAAAAGCAAATTCAAGTTTATATGATCAGCAGTAATCTGAAAAGTGTTTACATTAAGAGATGGGGCCAGACATCAGTAGATTCCATAAAAAGTTTAAGAACAGTGTTCAACATTGTTATAAGTATTTAACAACTTCTGCCATATATAATAAGCAAGATGTAGCTTACGCATTTAAAAAATGATAAATACTCTGAATAGGTTAATGCTTATTATTTCAAGATGCCCATTTCAGAGAAGGATAAAATGTAAATTCATATTTGATTCCTAACATGTCATTCAACCTGCTCTTCTTATTTTTGGTACATGGGATGCTGCTAGTACTGTTACAGTTAGTATCTAAGTTAGAATTTTCATGGAAAAATGTTCTTTAAAGAGGTTCAGTAAATAGATTTAATTAATAATGTGTTGATGCATGCAGGATATGTTGCAGAAACACAGAAAAATTACACTCATTAAGCTGTAGAAATAATATACTAGTATGTGCATCATTAAAAATATGTAAGTAACTAGAGTTTTCAGATTGGCATTTTTACTTTAAGTTGAAGTCATTACATATTTAGATCTCATGCTGGTTCTGCACTAGAAAATGAAGTGAAGACATCCTAACTTAACAGTGATAAATAAAAGCCGAATTAGCTCTTAAATATCTAATTTGTCTTCATAGATGCTATTAAGAGCTTTTAAAGTTACTTTAACAATAAAGACTCAGCTAAAGCATCAGAGTAACAGTCCAACCTCAATGTATTGCATGGATTGTGGTCAATATGACCCAAAAAGTTCCATTAAGGAAACGTAAATATTTTATGGTTCTTGGTTTTTTCTGGCTCTAATATACTCAGAACTAATATTTTTAATTATATGCAACCAGACTTACCCTAGCTATAGTTAGCATTAACTTAACAGTTTCAGCAGTATTATGAACTGGCATTACACGTAAATTACTGCCCAGGAATCTGCACATCAAAATATATTAAGGTTAAGGTTACTTTTAGAATGCACATTTAATTTGTTAAGCCATAAAACTCAAAAAGCATTCCCACATGATGTGAACAACTTCTTCCACAAGTACATGGAAGACTGCTTTTATCTTTAAAGGCAACTGGAGAGTTCATGCTGTTTGTATAGCCATCTGTCTCATTTAGGTGGGATTTGGAAGGGCTCATTTCTTTTTCTAGGGCTCTGACAATCAGTCAACAGTTCTTAAGCATGTGTACATTCAGAGAACTAAACCCTGTTCTGCTATATTGTTGAAGACTGTCCATTCTCAGTGCCAGTAAAAAAATGTTTGGGTTTTCTTTATGGCTTTGAAAGAACAGGAAAGTATCTAAAAAACACTGTGCTAAAAATACTTCAGAATTTGAACTAAATCTTTGTCATGTACTATCTAAATATAGCAATCTGTACGTCAGATGTGATTAAGATAATGGGATAATTCTCATAAGAATTTCATGTAAAGACTTGTTCATTCAAATAATTTACCCTGAAATTCCTTCTCTTTCTATAAATAATGTTATTTATATGCATTCATTCTTGAGAATGAAATCTGAAGATTTAAAATACTAGCATCAGTTGTCATTCAGTGCAGTCATGGAAGAGAGAGAGATCAAAGCTTAAGCAAGCAGAGAGACTCTCCTTAACACTTGCATCTTAAGTGTGTTGTACCAATGACAACAAAGGTAATATTGCTGCCGTTTTTTGTTGTAGAGCTAAAACGTGATAGGGACTTAACGACAAAGAATGAGTAGTATTAAATAATCAAAAATTTAATCCAAACAAAGTGCCCAGCTGCTCAATTGTATACTCCCCTGTGATCTCCCCTAGTGACTACCACCTGTTCGTCCCCTCAATCTGTTTTATGACTTGGACTCATTCACATTAAGACCCATGCTGGTTAAGTATCTGATCTGAACTTGGCTGCCCATTCTTCTAATTAGCAAAAATGAATGTTATAGGCAGGTGCTGAGTAGTTACTCTGGTCACTATTGAGTTTTGCTAAAATCTGATGCAGAAACTGGTTTGATTTACATCTAGGGATTAGGGAAATGAATGGATGCAACTTCGCTAATACAAGCAATGGGCTAAGCAAAGCATGAATGAATGAAGTGCAACAAAGAAACAATTACACGTACTTAGATCCATGAAAATCCATTTCTATCAATAGTTTTGCTTCCAATTACTGCAAGTCTAAATTTAGTTTGTATTTTATTAATTTGATCAACGGGCAGAACACTGGCCATTAGAACAAATGGCTGGTCTTTGCTCCAAGGTGTTTAAAAGTTAACATAGAGATTTACTGCGGATATTAGTGGAATGCTCGTTTGAGCTGTGATGATAAAGATTGCTTTTCTCCCACTTCCCCCATGATACACACAACCCTACATAAAGTGTTCATGCTGTTGAACAACAATCCTATAACCTTCTTGTTAATAATAATAAAAAAATAAACCTTGTGTAACTGCAACAAAACCATAGATAAGCAGAAAGAAACAGTAATACAGAAAGACCTGAAAATACCAGGGGACTGTTTTTTAACAAATCCAATAGCCGACTTGTAGTTTGAGAGAATATGGCACAAGTTTCAACCCCACCAGTAGACTCAGTCAGTGATCTACATACAATAGCAGAACTCCAAGCTGCCAGGTAGTAGAAAAGCACATGCATATAGAATATAATTGTGCCTTGTCAACATCAATTTGGTATGGCCTGCAATGACAAAACTATTACTTTTATTTTAATAAAATTACTGACTTGCCAAATGGAATACAGTTTCAAAACATTGCATTTGTTAGTGATCAACACATCCGTTGTACATAACCACAAAGTAGATATTGACAATTTGCATTGCCATCAGCTGAATAACATGTCTTGCTGAATGGTGGCAGAGCTTTTAAGACCTTTCAGGGAAATTTATGGAATTTTCACAAATGGGTAATAGATTTCCTACATTTCATCCCATACACTCTGCTACTCATCAGCATTTGGCAGTGTGCCCAGGATTTAACGAAACTGGTGCTAATTTCAAGGAGGTAAAGATCAAAGACTGCACTTGTCTTGAGCAAAAATCAACTGCAGTCAGGACTACCATACCTACCAGAAAATAGTTTTGACTACAAGTATGGAGCACAATCTGATAACTGTTGTCAGCAGGTACATACTGAAACATGCAAGTTTTCAGGATTCATTAGAAATCACAAAGTTTTAAACAAACCAGTTTTAATGTCCAGTTTTATACTTTTGATGTAAAATAACATTAATTATTTCAATTGTTCTAGCTCTGTATAACAGACACTGTTCCAAGTAAGCAGATTTAAAAGCTGGTAAAGAATCTGTGCTTTACAATGAAGGCTTTTCTCATGAAGGAAACTTGCCTGTTCTGTTTTGAAAATTACTATGAAAAGATGCTGACAGACCTAAGAAAACTGCCTAATTTTCCAGGTCAAGAGAAAACTTTAAAAAGAATTTATATTACATAGCCCTAAAATGATTGAAAGGGATGTTATTTGCTATATTTTGAGGAACGTCCTCTTTTGTTACCTGTGACGTCAGATTAATTCACTTTGTATTCTTTTCATTTGCCATTCATAAACATATGCTTTAAATAATTTTGCAGTGCATTAGCAAAATAAAATTCACATTCCTGAAAATAATTCCTAAAATAATATCCCCGAATCTAGGACTGCTACTTCATTTCTTCCTAGCAATAAAAAGTCTGGTTTGATGTTGAAATCATACCTTCTTTGAATCCTAAACATGACATTCCATTCTTCTGGTCCATGAAGAGCAGCTGACAAAACCAAAAAACTGTTCCGATGAATGTTTATGAACTTCTGAATTCTTTTGGAAAATTGTTCTTCCCCTGTCATAAGCAATTCTTGAATGTCTGACAGTAAAAATGCAACACCTACTGAAGAAACTGATGTAAATGTACACATCATGGCAGTAATGTGATTAAGTTCTCACCACAAACCAGGAAGCAGAATTCTTATTCAACCATTAGTTTAAAAGGCAATGGAACAATAGATGTGAATGAATTTACACATCTTGACAGGGAAATGCAATCATGAGATTTGGCCAGTGATGACTAGTAATTTTAAGATAAAACTACAAATAACTTGGAGGTTAGTTTCTACCATAACATCAAAAAAACCCCCAACTGTTCAATCCACTCAAAGTACAGACATGTGAATGCCTTTGAAAAGTACATGCTTCAGGAACAAGCAACTGCTATAAAGGAATTAATTTAGGACAAATGCAAAGATTGATTGAAGAGCTCAGGAAGTCCCATTTCTAAATGAGATAAACACACCTGTAACATCTTAAAAGTTAGCTAAACTGTCTACCGTGAAAAATGGAATCATAACCCTGTCAACTAATTTATTCTGAAAGGGAAAGTTAAGAAGGCTGAAGTTTAGGAGTCTTAACAATCAAGGATGCAAAAGATGAGGCCAATGCATGCCTTTTTAATCCTCATAGTTCAGGAAAACTTCAGAGAAAGGATCTTGTCTACCTGTCTAAAGCATCTTCTGCTCTAAAAAGGAAGGATAGATATTTCATGTTTGCAGTTTCAGTGATTTCCTAATCAAACCTGCTCAAAGAATCCTTTCCCTAGCTCCTCTGCTACCACCAGATCTGCAAACTCAACTTGGAAGATGAAAGCCAAGGGTCTTGGTTCGCTCTTGTGTTTGTAGCCATGAATACTAAAGATCTTGATGGCTCTTACACATAGTGGCACTCAATACGTTTGCTCAGTTATAACAAGAATTTACTAAACAGTTTGGCTGATGATCACTAAATCTAATGTAGCTGTTCTACAATAAGTCCAAAAAAAGTAAAAACCAATGAAAATGTTTAACCCCCAAAGTTCTCTGCTCCGTCCTCTGATTTACAGGCTATCACAGCACAGCTCCTCCCACTGTTGCATGACATTCCAACAAGGCAGCTTTTATTCAGTTCAGTGTAGCCTACAACAGGGCTTGATCATGTACCTCATTAGAGTTCAGGAGTTTAAAAGCATAAACTTCAAAGTACTGTACCAGAAAGAGAAAAAATCACGGATCCCATTTCCACTGATTCTGAATATCGAACTCGGTGTTGTTGCCTCTGTAGAATTGTAGAAATTTCATGATTCTAAATAAATATTAAAAGGTTATTTTTAAAGTATGTTTTCAGCCAACAAGTTAGATGATAGAAAAAGTCTTAAAGCATCGTCTGAACCATTATAGACAGAACTTTAGGATCATTGTTTAAAAAATATTTTTTCTTCCACTCGCAATAAAAAAGTAGTAAAATGTTAACCAAACTTTTTCAGTTAATGAAATTTTGAAATATTTGCACTGGAAGTTATCAAACATTGAATGACAATTTTGTATGCATACATTCAGTTTGCCTCAGGAAACTCTTACATAATACATAAAGAAGCTCAAACATTTTACAGTCTATTTTTGTAAGATGTGCTAAAGGAGGATTTGCAGAAGTGAGGAACATACAGTAGTGTGCTTCTATGACTCCAGTTAATTAGACTGCATTATTTTCACAGATGTCAGCATTTCATTTGGAAGATAGTTCAGAAAATCTGTATGGGACATGATTTTCTTTAAAGCTTTTTGACAGAATGCAATCCACTCAGGAAAACTAGAACATTGCACTATGCAATATAATAATCTACAGAATGGTGGGTTTGGATATATTTTTCAGCCTGCAAAAAGCATTTTTGTAGTATGTTCTACTGAAGCTGCTCAAACACACACATTTTAAAGATTAAATCACCGAATCCTTTTTAGTTAATAACATGTTCTTCAACCTACCCATTTAAATGTAGCCAACCTGCCTATATAGGGAAGTGTTGTGATTTAGTGGAAGAGTACAAAGTAAAGTCAGGACAGCAAGCAAACCCTGAAGGAGACAGTAACCAGAAATGTTATGCTTTCAGTTGGTCTGGAAAGGGGGGAACACTCAATGACAGCTGCTTATGAGGTCTAACTACAATTTTGGAAAAACCTTCTGCTTCAAAGCCACTGCTGATAGTGAATTATTTAATGTACAAACATAAATAACAGGTATAAGATATATAATAACTGCACAGGGAAAAGAGAAGGCTCATAACCAAAACTGATACAAAGCACTACCTTTATAAAAGAAAAGCCATCTTAGATTTGTATTCAGCTATTTCCATATCTTTGCTCACTAGGAGTCCTTACTAACAGTAGTAGTTTTGAGTAGAGCTGGGGCTCTTATTAATAGGAGTGAGTTATGCTGGTATAGCTGATGAGATCACTGCCCTCCAATGCCTCTCACCATATTAAAGATTAAGTTGGTCTTGAAGCAGTTCCCAGACTGGAACAGCTTACAGGCTGTCATTCCAAGACAAGCAGGCAATAAGAACAGGCTTTAAACTGAGATGATTCAGGAATTACTTCAACACCATTCACCCATTTATACAGCAGAGATGGGGTGATAACCTTGTCAGCCAAGCTAGCATAAGATATCCTTGCTTGTGAATCAAAGCCCTCTTGCCTCTAAATTCTCTCCAGCTGGCATGAAATTGGCCTCAGCTGCAGAAACTAATTACCAGCTCCTTGACATACCCTTTCACTTTACTGGGGAACACAGTCTAGGCTTCTGATATTAACAGATATAAATATACATCAATATCTGTAAGACTCACCATTTTAAACTGAATTGCACACTTACTGAGTAATAGTCTACCCCAATGTTGACACTGTATAATAGAAAATAAAGTGTTTAGGGAGAAATTCAGAAAATTAAAAATGTTTCTGATTAAATTATTTATAGTGCTAATTGAAAGCAACATCAGTGCAGTGCAAAAGTGATGAGTCAGGAGGACAATCCTAAAGCGGTGTAACTCAGAATAGCAGGTGGTAAGAATACTAAATAGGTACATAAGTAGCTAGGACTAAAACCACACACACACAAGAAAGAACCAGTACTATAGTAGAAGTAACTTCAGCCTACTATCACTGTTTTATCCTCAAAAAACTATATTAATTGACATTGTACATAATATTTCCACATATAGAATATAGGAAATGCTGCTTTCAGCATTTCTTAGTGAGTCAGATGCTGCTCTTGACAAGTGGTATTGTACCTGCAGAGCTGTGCTCATAATAACTGTTGTTATCCATCTTGACTGTTCCTGCCCACCACTTTCTGTCATTTTTTTCAAGGGTTTAATGGCTCTGCAGTGAAATCTCAGGTGCCACCTTCTGAAAAGCTTGGAAAAAGGAAGATGACAAATGTTACCTGCCAATTAAAGAGGTTTAAGGCACACGGATCCATTAAAAATCTGATTAAAAACCAGGGCACTACCCAATTCTCCAAAAGGTATGCAGGTGCCCACTACCACTCAACTAATTTAACATGGCAATTAGGTATCTAAATGGCTTTAAAAAAACCTGCATCTGAGAGGGCTTCCTTTATAAGGCATAGCAGTGTAACAAATAAAGGACTTCAGAAAAACATTCCTAAAAGCACTTAAAACGACTAAGGAACATTTGCCCTATTTTCAAAGGGCACGTCTGTCACTGTGCATGTTTTACACTAAGACGCTTTTGGGAAGACTGCCCCGGGCCTCCTGCCTGGCCTGGAGCGGCCCACTATGTCGCAGGCCTGAGCACTAGCTCTTTTCACGTCCGTTTCCATTTCACTCTTCTGAAAATATTCCTGCATATCTAGCTTGGCAGGCGCTTCTAAGGCTCATGTGGTGCAGTCGGGGAGACTGAAGCTCCCTGGCAAGAGCGTGAGGCAACCTGGGGGCTGGGTCTGGCCTCGCCTCACATCCCCGAGGCACCCGCCTGAGGCGCGGTGGCACTGGGCAGCGCGCCGCGGCGGGAGAGCTGGTTTCTACGAAACCCTCGTGCCAGGTGGTTCCCAGTATCAGTTTTAAGCGGGCCTCCTCGCGTCTTAAAAACCTGGTAAGGCGCAAAAATAAAACCCCTGCAGCCTGGCGGGGCAGCAGCGGCAGCAGCCCCAGCAGCGGGCAGGGACCGCCCGCCTTGTGCTTCCCGCCCTCCGGGCAGACCGCCGCCGTGGCGCGGGGGCGGCCGTCCCGCCTCAGGAGCCGCCTCAGGAGCCGCGGTGTCTCTCGGCCTCGCAGCTGGGCGCGGAGCCCTTCGGCATCAAGGGTGCCGCAGCGCTCGAGCAGGTCGGTCCTCGGCAAGGGGGGTGTCCGGGCCCCTGCGGGGGCTCCGTCTCCTTCCCGCAGCCCTCAGGAGGAGCCCCGGTTGCTCCTTACCGGGGACGTGCGGCAGCTGAAACCAACCTTACTTCACAGGTCTGAGGAATTAAGAGACGGCAAACAAAAGCTCTCAACAACTAAATGAAGCGCACATAAGTTGCTGATAGGAAAGTAACTCGGGCCTTGGTGGGAAGTGAAGAAGCACCGAAGCTGCTTGCCTTTCCTCTGGCCCACTCGACTCCTGTCTGCTGCTCCATGTTGCCCTGCAGCATATGGTGACTGGCTTCTGCTGGGATGCTGCTGAAAACCTTGTTATGTTGTGAGTGTCCCCATAAAAGTCCTCCAGAAACTCGGTGTCAGCCTGAGAGACTGCTACCGTGCAAGTACAGGTTGTGTGACATTTTTAGATGATAAAAAGGACTGAATGGACAAGAACGTGGAAGGACACCAGGCAGGACAAGTGGGTGTTATGAACAATGATGGTAATAAGTCTACTTTTGCATAGGAAAAAAATCGTGAGGGAATGTTTCCAATGGACAGCTAATTCTGCAGCTATTTCTGGGGAACAATATTCCAAATGATTTTCTGTGATACTCTAAATATAGAAGTTACAGTACAAAAAATGTGAAAGAAAGAAACAGCACCACTTTCAGTAAAAGAGAAATACTGAGAATGTTGGAGCTTCTTTTTTCATCATATGAGAGGAAACAGTACTTCTTTTACATGGTAAAGAAGAGCCGGAGTGCAGAGCTGTTAAAACTTCTGATAAAGAGCACTGATTTCCAGCTCTGCTCTTCAGCCAGTACGTGAATCTAGACTCAGGCCTATCTACTGAAACCGGTATTTTTACTCAAAATCTGCGATTGTAGTAAAAGCTTTTCCTTTTTAAACTCTTTTTAGAGTATTTTGAAATTGAAGAAAGTGACCTCATTTATATATTAAAAATTATACATTTAAATAGCAAATTGTCTGGCTTGCTTAGAAAGAATTAGACATCTTGGTGATTTAAAAATGACTCTTCTCCTTTTTGTTTCAGACAAGAAGTGGATTCATATCTGATTTCCTGCTTCTGTTAGTCAAATGCACCTGAGTTACAGTTACCCCTCACTGCAAGGGTATGGAAATGTCATGCTACTTTTGATAGTAAGTCAAATATTTCTAATACTGAGTTTTTACATTTCTGTGGATTATAAATGTGAAAGTCGGCAAATTAAAGGAAAATAACATATGTATGAGGTATCCCGACTGCAGTGTTCTGGAGAGCTGGGACAGGAACAACAAACTGTGAAGCCATTTCCTGTAACACAGTGGAGCCACATGCTCTGACTGCATACAAAAATCAGGGAGTTAAGAACATCAGGAGTTATTTTAAAATACAATTATAAAAGAATAAGGCAGTTTTATGATGAGGTTTGATGATCCCACTGACATCTGCGAACGTGAAGTTTGAATTCATACACACTGTAAAAGAATTTCTGTGTCAGTACTAGTGAAATACCAGGGGTAGAGAGTAGGAACTGTTTTGTTACACTTGATTTATAACGCTATAGTGTATCTGAATTCATATTTTGGAATATGTCTAATGTACATGCATTAATTGAATTACAACAATTCAGATGGAGAAAAAATAATAGGAGAGAATAGCATGGAATAAAAGATGATTCACAGTGTAAATATCTTTAACAGGTGAGTAGATTTTTGTTTCTTTCAGTGTAATACTGTTAGAAATGTATGGTACATAATAGGTTTTAAAGAAACAATTTACAGATAAATTTAAACACTGGATTTAGGTTCCTGGGATACCAGCAGATGCCTCTTTCCCTGATAGACATTTATCATACATGAAGTTGGACACTCCCTACCCCCCAAGTCAAAATACCCACTTCAGAGGCATCAAAGTACAATGATGGATAAGTGTGGGACAATGAGAAAACCCAAAACCTTAACAGAAACTGCTTCCTGTCAGTATTTTGACTCCACTTGTTACATTTTAATGGGTAAATTTTGTGTATCTTAATTTCAGTTGACAAAAAGTTACACTGGAAACTTAATTGAATATATTTCTGCCTGTCATTACATTTGACAATAGTTCACATTTGAAATAAAAATAAGACTCTTTCTGAGTTAGAAACTTCTGAGGGGAACAGACCCCACCGCCTCCTGTGTAAGAGCCACCCCAGCCTAACGCTTGTCTGGTCCAAGTCTTATGCAATGGGACATGCTGAACCCCTGGGCTAGGAACTGCTTAAGGGACAATTTTGGTAGTAGGTTGTTTTGCAATGCCATTTGAGTCTGAATCTCACTATGTGACTTGGCCTTCTCTTTTTACCAGCCTAATGTCAGAAGGCTAATGAAATAGAGCTTGGACTCGAAGAAAACAGGTTTTTCTGGATCGCATAATTCTTCAGAGCATTCTTCTCCCCAGTAGTTTCCCTTCCAAAAAGTGACTTTGAGGGATCCTGTGCTACCTGATGAGCTAAATTTATTACAGTTATCTCTGCTGTGACAGTTTCTGACATTTTGCTAGTCTTAGCTTTAAATCTCAAAACATTCCTTTTCCACATACCTACATGGTGCATTTCACATACAGGTGAAGCTGCAGGAGAGGGAAAGAATAGGGCTGTGTCTGGTAGCGTATCAAATAACTTCTGGGAGCAGAGCAGAGAACCCCATTTAGGCAGGAACAGAAGGATCTTGGGATTAATACTCCCATATGATGAAGATAATGGCTTAAGCATTTGCATGAATAACTAATTTATGACAAGGCAAAATCTTTCATCAAATTAGTGTTTCTCTGCACTCTCCTGGGCCATATCCCATTATGTTCTAAATCAGCACCATTTTTTGATTTTGTAGGGCAGTTACATAGGTATCTTCCTTTTCTATAGATTTTTACGTGAGAACTGATTGTTCATCTTCACACACATCACCTGTCTTGTTCTCTGATGACATGATCCAAGAAAAAGTAGCTTTTTCTGTTTAGAGGAGAAAAAGGAGTGAAGGTCCACTAAACAGATAGAAGAGGAAAGTAACGCTTACTTTGCAATTTACGGAGCACAGATAAAAATTGATAGCAGCAGTCCACAAGTTCAATGAAGTACAATGACTCAATGTTTAAGTTACACATAGGATTTATTGTTTTCTGTCATACAGAAATCAACTAAGAATCTTCAGTATGTAGCATGGAGAAGAAAGCTTGTGGGACTATGTAACTGTACAGAGATTCTGGAAACAGAAGACCATGTTCACAAGGAGTCATTTGGAAATATGGTTACTTGGGCCCCAGCTAATTATCTGGGTTTGAAAAGCAAGCAGGTGGAAAACATGCAAGCATTCAGTTTGAGAGCTTAACACCCTCCCAAATGCTGAGTGGTCAAAATATTCTAGGACTATAAAGCCATGGACTACAGGTAGTGACTCAAACTTTTCTCCAGATGCATCCTGTTACACATATATAGGAATTATCTTGATTACTAGAACACGATAATCCAGAAAGTAGAGATTGAACTTTCCTTCTCTACCACAAAGATAGAGGAGGACATTTTGTTACAGGTAGGAGGTTTGACTTATAGGTGGGTCTCATGTTGACACACATGAAAATTACCTCATTCTATGAAGGTAACAAAAAGTTTTTATGCTACCTACACTGAATCTGGCATGTACATACGGTTTGTCCTATTTATACTGATCTTAAGCACATTGATATAATTCTACTGAGAGACAGGATGCCATGCCACACTCAAAAGAGGGTTATAAAAAAAGAAGTGAAGAACTAAAATGATTCCATTAAACACAAGTGTAAGAAAATCACACAAATGACTAAATAAGGATTACATAAATGAGGATGCTGTAGATTAAAGTAATTTGGTGAGATCAGTCTCAAAACTGGCTCATACAGTTAGAAAGTAAGTTATATGAGCCAAAATTTTTACTCGGGTTACCAGTCTTTCTGTTCAGACACTTAAAAATATCCTGATTTT